AGTTTTCGGGTATGAGGTCATGTCAGGGTTCTTGGGGTACTTGATGCGTCGTGGTTCGGAAATTTAGGGCTTCGGGCTTTGTTTTGTGTGCGAGGGCTCGGGGTTCAAGGACGCTGTACGTACTCGAGGTGTGTTCTCAAACACGTGGCTCTTATGGCCTTCGGGATGTCCTGGGATTATTGGGATGTAACATGGGTTTCACTTTAGGATTACATCTTCATTGTTTTGTGAAACTCATAAGTGTCTTGCTTGTAGGCCTCATTTCAAGAACAGGGCTTTGCTGTTGCCATCACGAGTCGCCACGGGGAAGAGGAGAAACAAGCTTCACATGAAAGAGTACATAAGGTAGAGCACCACACCATAAGGCGGTGGAGAACCTCTGTTGGCCTGCCACCCGAGATCATGTCTAAGCAAGCATGTGCTGGCGGAGTCAATGCTCGACTTCGAAGTGTTCAGGCGTATGATGCGATGCTGGTCTGTACACTTGCAGCTATAAACCCTGAACCTGAAAAAGGGTCCTTTTTGTAGATTGCTGTCATGCAAACACGGCCATCCGGCCCCCATGCCAGCTTTGGGAGGAAACATCTGGGAGTTTCTCGAAATTAGGGGTACCATTTTGGGGTTCTCATAATATGGATTATAGTATATTGGGGGTCTACATTGGGGTCCCCCTATTTTGGGAAACTACCATCTGAACATGAGCTTCTCAAAGTACTGGGCAGCTTCTTCGAGCAAGTCGTGAGGAATATGTACCCATTATGTTAACCTTTCTTAAGTTCCTTAACAGCAACCCAGAATACGGTAGTCGGTCGAGTGCGCACACTCTGGAACCCTAAACCCCAGGCGTAGGCTTTGACAAATTAGAGGTGCCATTTTGGGGCTCTCTATGGCAAAAATTATGGGGCTAATATTGGGGCCCCCATTTAAAAAAGCTCCCCTGTCGTACCCTCAACCCTAAACCGCATGTAGCATGTCCCTGCCTGCCAGGGCCGCTTAGAAGGGGGGTTTAGGGGGGTTCCTTAAGTTCAATGTAAAATACGGGTCCTTATAGAGGATTTCCTATCAAACTTAAATCTCTGGTGATTTAGGCCAAGTCCCCGGAGTAATTTGAAAGTCTTAGGTGCACTTTACAATTTTTTGGGGGTTCTTATAACCCTACTATAATACTACGGTTTTTCTGGTCCCTGAAACCCTAAACCCCTAAACCCTAAACTCTGAAGCCCTAAACTGTGAAGTCCCATGAACCCTAAGGGTCCAAGTACCGAATAATCATATACTTACCCAGAACCTATACTATAATTACTATTACCCAAATCCCAAGTACCTAATTATTGGGTACTTGGACCCCTAGGGAACCCCCCTTTGCCGGAGGCAGTGCCTCGAAGAAGAAAAGCGGCGCAGACGACACGACCTCAGCCTGTGCGATGGGCGTGGCGTGGGCTTAGAGCTTGGGGTGTTAGGGTTAAGGGTTTAGGGTGTTAGGGTTTAGGGTTTAGGGTCTAGGGTTCAGGGATCCGGAAAGTAAGACGTAAATCAAACCCTAAGCCACTACAACCCGCTTAGGCGACAAAAAGCACCATCTTAACAAAGTTCGATATGGAGGTTTCTCAAGAACCCTAAACCCAGGGTCCCCAATTGGTGCAAGATTCCCTTCATGAACCGTATGTACCTGCGCCAGAATTCATGGTTTCGTCTGTTCTCCTTCAACGACATCTCTATTGCTCCCGAGTACCTAAGTCCTAGACCCTAAGCTCAAAATCCTACAGCAGCGAAATCAGGAGGCAATCCCTCGCCCCTTGAACCACCCCAGCTAAGAGGAAGGCCCCGAGCAGTTATAATACCCAGCCCACCCTCCAAGAATGAACACCCCTAGCCATTATTGGCAGAATGGGGGAGGCTTTAGTAGGGGAAGGAATTGAACAGAGGGATGTCTTCAGGGTTTAACAGCGTTGAACAGGGCTTGCCTTACTGGAGTTCAGCAGTGAATAAGAGAACATAGTATGTAGCGACTCTATTCCCTTCTTTCCCTCTAACCACCAGGAAGTTACGATTGAGGGAGCTCAGGGGTATGGGGTGTAGAGCTACGCGTTAAGGTCTGAAGGTTTAAACCCTGAAGCCTAAATCACGTTGACGGTATACCCGACAGTCGTATAATCTTATGCTACTGGATCTTGGAAGGCGAGGGCGCTGAACGAAAACAAGGACCACCGAATCCATAAAGGATGGACACACAATTCGAGAGAAAAAAAGGGAGACCAAAGATCCTGCGTGACCCTGGGCACCTTGTACCTTAGGAATTATGGCGTGGTAGTATACTTAAGGTCATACAGGATTGCTCGTAGCAACAGAACATTCTCATGACCTCAAATCGCATACTGCTTGTCCTCCTTGGTCCCTTGTGACAAGTCTGTTGGCGTACTAGCCGGAAGCCCTAAACGCTGAAGACCATGGTTTTTTGTTCGGAGCATGTTTACTGGAGGAATCTTGTAGATCCTAAATTGGTACAGACCCTTAATTTAGGTCTGGCACCCGAAGCCCTGTAAACCTCCACGACGAGAAGCCCTTGGCACAACCTCTGAAAGAACAGAGGCATTCAAGCCTTGAGACCACATGATTGAAACGCTAAACCTGTAAAAATCTGCGGGTCTTGTCAAGATACCCTAGTTTTCTGATTAGGCGTCCCTTGCAAAATCATTGCAGCGCTTGATACTCAGTGCGCCTAAAGCTGGCCCTGAACCCCTAAACCCTGAACCCTAAACCCTAAACCCCTAAACCCTGAACCCACATCGGCCCCACAGTTGAATCCCAAAACAGAACACTTTCTTACAGCTCAAGCCAGGAACCCTTCACACCACTCATGTCAATACTAGAATACTTACGGTTTAGGGGTCTAGGGTTTAGAACAAGTGGCAAACCCTTACGCATCTTCTACTTTGTGGTTTCTTGTATTACAGTATGGTCATGCGGGGTGCGTACTGTTGATACTAAAAATCCTGCATGGCTTTAATGTGCCCTTTAATTCCCAAGGTATATGGTACTTAGGGTCATGCAGGATTTTTAGTATCCAGCATAGTATACCGCAAATCTCAAACGCTCGGTGTGCTGGTCCCTGGTGCATCAACTTGACGACGCTGTCAGTCCCCAAAAGCTTGAAACACCAAGATTGCTGTGTTACATCCGGATCTTAACCGAAATTCAGTAAAACTTACCTGTGGCTCCATTTACCTACAGTTTTATGGGTTCTACCTACTAATGGGTAAGTACTACTAAACTGTAGGTAAACGGAGTCACAGGTAAACTCAATTTTATGACAGAAAATGTAAGTTTCTGACGGCACCTTAACCAGAGCCAAGAAGCTGGTATGCCTCAAAAGAACCTCTATACAGTGCAGTATAGAGACAGCAAAATCCCCCAATTCACTCTTTACGCACTCTATACTTTGCATGTCCCTAAAGCCTGAACCCGTAAACCAGAAGTCTTGATCACGGCTCCACAGGTTGTGGCGCTGCTAGCCGAACTTCTTGACGTGGCGTCCGGAGCTTTGGACATAGAGCTTTGCATTCACCACCCGATTTGGGTAGGTGCACAACCTAAGCACCTCCAAACAGTCAACCAAAACCTCTGGAATGTAAACCCTGAAGTATAGGGCTTAGGGTTACGAGCTAGGGTCTAGGTTGGCGCACAGATGGAAAGTGTGATTAATTTGGTGTTCTTTGGTTTACTTCAAACTTGCCTGAAGTGTGATTTTCAAAACTCGGACTCGGGCCAACGCGTGTTGAATGTTTGAGTGGTGATGAGTAGCTGGGGTTAACATTTGGTATGGTTACACAAATCCCCTGGACACTTTACTGCATTTGCTTGCGGGAATCCTCCGGTAAGTTTGCAGGTATGTACATGGTGTACTGAAAGTCGTGCAGGAGCTCCGCCGTCCATAGGGGTTATAGGGGCTATATAGGGGTTATAATGGAGAATCAAGTGGAAATGAACATGGAAAATTACATGGAAACGACCTAATATCAGAGTTCGACCATATATACTTGATTTTTCGATTGTTCTTGATTAGCTGTTTACGGAAGATGTTAAGTCAGAGTTATCTCTTGCTTGTATGTGGAAACCTGCTCTGTGCTATTCTCGATCTTACCACTGTCAGAAGCGCAGATGCTCACTCAGAACCAACACCTCCTGCTCCTAGGGTCTATCATCGAACTTCGCACTTTGCACTTGCACACGTGATCTTGATCATGCGCCCTCTGCGGCCAGGGCCATATGGTGTGACCGCGGCAGTGCCATACGGGTCAGGCAGAGGCAAGGGCAAGGACAAGCAGCACATCCTGCCATGGCAGTCGAAGGGTGGCAACGATATGCAACAGTTTGATAGCGCCATTCTGACAGTATGCAGGGCGAAGGAAAGAGGATTGTCCGGTTCACCTCAGAGCGGATCGTTCCCAGTATGAGCAAGAAGAAAGTGGCGGAGATCAAAGAGCAAAGGCGTCAGAACAAGATCGCTAGCTCATTGCTTTGGCATTCCAAGTTCATCAAGAAGGGCGTGCCAAATTTGCATGTTCGGCAATAATTGTTGTGAAAGGCGTGCTGAATGTCAATGTGCCACCACGTGCCTTTGAGTTCACACCTAGGTTCTGAGATATCCGCCCGAAAGACACCTATAACCCAACATCAAATTGCAGGGTAATTACTCAGACCCTACTTATAGCCCTACTCATCGCCTCATAAAATCAGCTGTAGTTTGGTTATGGACCTTCAAGTAGACCCTGGTACTACTTGCACTTACATGTCACCCGACTTACAAAGCCTAAACCCAAGACTCAAAAGCTCCTAAAACCCAAAGCCTCCACCTCACCTGATCCCCAAGCAGCCCTAAGAACAGCCTATGTACCCAGTAATTGGGTTTAGGGGCCATTATTATAGGATATGGGTACTTGGGAGGTCCATGTGAACCCTGTAAACCTTAAATCCGAGGTAAACCTGAACAGAAATGTGAGGTCCCGCAATCTCACAAAGGGCCGGAAAGAGGCAGCCCTGGAGGATGGATTAGGGTTTATGGAAAAGGGTTAGGGTTTAGGGTTTAGGGTTTAGGTTGGGTCATTCCCCCTTACAGTAACTTTTACCACAATGGGTCATAGGAATTATAGTAGCCCCTTAATAAGGCCCCCTTTAAGGACAGTTACTAGGAAGGGGGAATGACCCAAGGTTTAGGGGTGTAGGCTTTAGGGGTTTACAGTAGGGTTTAGGGTTTAGAGGTTTGAAGAATAGGGGTTTGAGGTTGAGTGTCTGGGAGTGCGAGTCAGCGGTCCCCAACTACCCTTCAAAGGGATCTATGTTCCACACGACTTTTAGGAAGATGACGCACAGAGCAGGAAAGACTTCCACTTTGAAGCTGAGACAAATAATTTCGTCTCCATCGCAACTACTGTCAAACATCATCATCGCAGTCCATGACAAACCCCAAACCCTCAGCCGCTTGCAACACATTCGGGAAAGAAAGCCCCCTTGATGGCTTTGCACATTGTATAGGGAGAACCGTAGAATGGAGAATCAAATCGAAAAGAAGATAGACCATCAACTAGAAGCTAGGTTTATGTAGGGTTATATTTATATGTGAATTAGGGCTTCCTAAACAGGGGGCGCTTATGACATGGGTTCTATTTCACTGGACCACTAAACCCTGAACCCCAAACCCCTACACCGTGAATAATGGGCTCATATGAGCCTTAGGCTAAACTCCTTTCTCCCCCTTAATAACCCCTATCATACTCCCCTATATAGTCCCACAAACCCAAAACCGTAAACCCTAAATCCTAAACCCTAAACCCTAAACCCCCCCTTAAGGGGTTTAGACTATAACTCATCTCTCCAGCTCGTAGCTACGGCAAGGAGGACCGCCGCGACGAGCAAGCGCGCAATGGCCGAGGTTGCCACAGAGGGAGGAGTGATATGGTGCACGCGGGCTTTTAGGGGTTTAGGGCTTGAGGGTTTAGGGTTTAGGGCTTTAGGGTTTAGGGCGTTAGGGCTTTAGGGTTTAGGGCTTTAAGGGTTTAGGGCTTTAGGGTTTAGGGCTTTAGGGTTGAGGGTTTAGGGAGGGAGAAGTAGCGTGTTTCACGGGTTTCCCTACAACTGGGATGGGTGTTAGGGGAACCCATGATGATGTAGAAATAGTGTATTAGAAGCCCATTGCAGGTGAGCAGTTTACACATCTGTAATACATTGGCCTTAGATATGGTTCCTTCTTGGGTTGAGTATACTGCTTCGATTAGGATTCTTACTGCGACCCACCAAAAGGTACTACATTGCCAGGGGGCTCCGGTATGAGTTTGGTAGAAGTATTGTAGTATAGTGTTGTGTAGTGTAGTATAGCGTAGTGTAGTGTAGAAGCCTCAAGCAATAGGGGCTAGGGCTTAGGGATGCTCAGAGCACAGGGAAACAGCGACGATATTATAGTCCCAGGGTGCCCTGTATAAACATGGTAAGTGCACCTGATATGGACGTCAACATGATATTGCCAGCTATTTATGCTGCTGTATCATGGCTTTGGGTCCTGCAGAATTCCAGTATCCACCTTAGTAGCCATGAATACAGGGTTGGATTTTATCCTCCCATTGCACACGGTAGTTTTTACAAGGAATATAACCTTACCTGTTCCAACTGACAACACGAATACCTAGTTTTGGTACCCTAGGTGGTGCACCATGTCCTCAATCCGCAAACTCCCTGCCTGAAAGATGCCACTAGATGACCGATGGGGATGCTTTGTTATTACTGGTGGCATGAGCCTCTTGACTCAGAACCCTTGTGCTGAAAAACGCAGCCCTAAGTAAGTTTTCGCAACCCTCTCTTTCCCCTTAAGCCCCAAAACCCACATGTCCTTACAGCTTAGGGTTTATGGTCGTAAGCGCGTATCTACCCGGCACAATCCTTTTGAAAGAAGGTTTTTTTTGAAGCCTTATCACCTCTTGGATGCCAGCTCGCGAAGATGCTCGGGCTCCGCGGCGTGAGGTCCGAGCGAAGGCAGGGCTCTGGGCTGGGTTTAGGATGCCTGGAAGCTATAGGGCTATGTAGATATATTAGAATAGCGAAGAATCACATGGAATAGAACATGGAAACTGGGCTTATAGGGATTTAGGTTCTATAGGGTTTACTTGGATGGTCAGCCGGACTTAGTAAGTAGGTTCAGGTGGCCCTTTTGCGGGTCATCCGTATTTTTGCTAAGTTCCTCAGACCCTGCAAGTGGGTCTATGTGGGATATGGAGGGAGTCTTAGGGTTCCAGGGTTTAGGGTTTCGTGTTCTGGACATACTCAGATGTTCTGTTTAGTTGTAGCCTACTATACTCTTTGTACTTTCAATGTGCTTGAGAGGCAGCCATTTGCCCCACAAGCTTGTTGCCGAAGGTCGGGTAGGGGAATTTCAGCAAGAATTACACGCGAGCTTCTGGAAGTCGGACTATGTTCGAGACTTCTTCTAAAGGTCTCACAGCCAAAGGGGGTCCCTGTGAGCTTTTGATCTCAATCTTCAGTTCCTACACATTTTCCCGCATAGACCCGGCACAACCCCGTAAAACCGTTGACCCCAATCCTTAAACCCGAAACTCTCTTTCCTGAGGCCAACACCCTTCACCCTGACACCTAAGCCTTAAGCTGATATAAGCCCTGAACAGCTGAACTGAGTAATTAAGCCTGACTCCCAGACACGGCTTAGAGTTTGGGGTTATAGGGCTTAGGGATCCCCAAACCATGAAGACCCTCAAACGCCAAGCCGCCATAGGAGGAGTACCGCCGTGACGACCGCCGCAGGGAGGAGGAGCGCTACGACGATCGCCGCCGTCCGCAGCGGGAGGGAGGAGGCAGAAAGCCCAATACATGTTTTGAGGTTTGCAGGGTTGAGGGTTTTGCGGTAGAAGATTTAAGGTGTAGCTCTGACTGAGCTATTCTTCTAGAGGGGGGTCATGATGGGCTCTAATATGAAGATCCACAAAAGACAATTTCGGGGAGTCTCCATGACTTGTGCGAGTGCGGTTTGATGTGGGGCTCGACAGAATTCTGGCTTGGGCTGCCCAGCACCGAGCCCAAATTAACTTCAGTGTCAACTTCTAGTGGGGCTGGATCTGGGTTCCCTGACTACAGCTACTGCAGACTTGTGGCTGCGTAGAGTCAATAGCGTGGAGCCAGACCCACGAGAACACTCGAAGCCACAGAGGGTTTTGCGAACCCGTGCACATGAGGGCATGATAAGTCAGCTTACCAGTGCTTAAGCGGCTGGGGGAGGGGATATGGGCATAGTCATTATAGAGAGCCACTCCCCGTCTCCCCTTTAAGCAACAGTCACCGCGGTTGTACCCCAGGAAATCCAAACCTTTTTGATCCAGAGTTAGCCACTAGGATTTATTTCAGAAATTTTGAGATCCAGGATTCGAGGTTTCGAGTAAGCACTCCGGTAACTATGCCGTTTGCCCCCCCCCCCCCAGGTCTAGCTGGGCTAGGTGGTGATACCGCCAGATCTTGGACTCCAAGCCCTCCCTAAGCCCTAAACCCTTGACCCTGAAAGATGTCCAGGCCGCGATGATGGCCGCGGGCGTGAACGTGATCCCTACCGCGCGAGAGGCTAAGTCAATTGAGGGCTGCCGCGCAGTTACCTTGAACTAAATTATGATTTGAAAAGCGTGTGGAACTCGGAGTCAGATTTTGGAAAGTTCTTTCAATACAGAGCAGAGGACCAGAATAAAGAATGAGCAGGACGCTGCATTCGTGTAGGGCCCGGATGTAGCATCCAGGATTGAGCATTCGCAGGGCTTAGAAGCCTTATAGGACCCTTATAGAACCCATATATGACCTTTATACAACCCTCATATAACCCTTATATAACCCCTATATAACCCTTCCCGTATCCCCAAGCAAGCCTGAGGATGATTACCGCCGCGACGATCGCCGCCGCGACGAAGAGGCTTCTTGCGCTTTCTTTTTAGGGTTTAGGGTTTAGGGTTTGGGGTTTGGGGTCTAGGGTTTAGGGTTGGAAAGGTTTTAGGGTTCAGGCTGCCATTAGTAGGGCCATATTCTGAACTCCTTAAAGGGGTGTGTATTGGGGATTATATACGGGACTACTATAGGGGCTATGCAGGGGGATACTAGGAGTTTAGACAGTGGCTCAGTAGATGCTCAGATCCCAAAGTTTCTATAGCAGATTCCATTCAGGCAACGAAGTATGTAATGTATGGATACTTGGACTTCTCGAGTAGGAGTAGGAGTGCGTGTAAGGGAACGGTACGGAGATTTCTCTAACTTACTAGAATGCGCATCTCCACATTTAGAGTTCCAACCCGTATAACGGCACAAGTCAAGAAAGATTTTCGCGGGCCCATGGTGTTTGAACCAGAGAGGTTAAACGTCCAAGGTCCCAACCATGGGCCCCTATTTCCTGGGTCCTAAGTGTGAGCCCTCAATTGGGTTTTTAGGGTTTATATGGGGCATATGATGGGTATACATAGATATATTTATATATACACACATAGATAGAACTGTGTGAAGACCCCTGTACCAAGGGCCCGTACTAGGAGCCTATAGTTCCAACTTTGACAGGAATCCAACGCCACATTATGTGTCAGTGTTTCTGGTACTGTTATTTCCAGCCCTGGGCCCTTCAAAAACTACTTATAGCCTACTGGTGCTTGAGGGGGAGTGGGGGAATGAGTATAGCTACCATTCTAGGGGTATACATGGACATTACATAGGGATTACTATAGGGATCCACTCCCCCACCCTCCCTTAAGCACCAGTAGCTCGACCCTGAACCACAGCGCCAGCAGGAACGCTACGAGGACGATCCTCGCCGAGGCGTTACGGTCGTCTTTCTGCCTTTTTTAGATGAGTAGGGTTTGTAAAGGGGGCTACCCACCCTGTGATAGCGGTATACGAGGAGTAAAAGAGGACCCTAATACAGTGACCAATATCCATTATTACTGGCTGGGGGGTCCACCAAAAAGTATCTTTAATGGGAGAATATTTTAGGGATCCTTCCGAGGGGTGATAGGAATATTGAGGGTTTGGGATGTGGAGTAACATTTTTCAGTGAGCATACTATACTTGCCACCCACCACCATAGAGTAGGATGATTGATATCTTCTTTTCGGCTGTGATAGTTTACAAGAAGAACATCATCTATGTCCTTTTGTCCTCGCAGCTGTCACTGGGACCCCTTACCATCATGAAATGGGATGAGGACCAAGTACACCAAGACAATACACAAATAAGCTAGTAATCTGGGTATGCGGAAGGTCGAGCTTCTTTGAAGAAGATATCCCAGTCTCTGGAGCAGGCGCTTCTCTCTTCAATGCAATACTCAAGTCCACAAGCCTAAAGCCCCAACCGAAACCCTAAACCATAATCCAACCCTGAAACCTAAACCCTAAGCCCAGCCCGGATGCCTCGGAAATTTAAACCTCAGGCCTATTCTGCCCCACAGCGCCCTTGTCGACAACAGAGCCCTTTGTAGAAGGCCCAAGATCCCCATATGAGCTAGAGTCTAAACTTTTTAAAGGGGGATTACGTAGGGCGTTAAAAAGGGAAGTATTACAAGGGGTTACTAAGGGGGATACTAGGAGTTCACGTGGTTTGATGCCAAAAATGGGAGGATGCCAGGGCCTGCGTCTGTAGGTTGATGGGGTTGCTTGGGTGTAAGCTTTAGGGGTCTAGGGTTTAGGGTTTAGGGTTGGCTTTGCTGTCTGGACAGCTCGCTTTGTTCCAGCTACAGTGGGTTTGGGCCGCCAGAAGGATTGCGCGAACTTGTTCAAACAGGAGGCAATATGAGTGGCCGGGCGCCACGCCGAAGTGATTCCTGTCAAGGGGGCAGCCTATGCCTGCGAGATCCCACACCTTCTAGCAAAACTCAGCGTGCATCAGCGGCCAGGCGGCAAGCGGTCCTGCTCGTAGCTGATCTGCCATTTGCAGAAGTGAAGGAAAACTTGCTGGAAGCTGCCAACTCCAACTAGTTACCTGAATAGAAATCCCACTCTAAACCAGCACAAAAAGCCATCGCACCATCTTCACACGAATATGTCTTTAATTCAGCTAGCTCCACAAGTAATATTACCCTGCTCAAGCACTGATGACGAATTTTCCCAAGGTGGTACCGCCATTTTCTACCGAGAATACGCATCATCAGGGGTGAGGGGATCGAAGATGGGTATTTCCAAAATAGTCCCTAGTAAGGACCCCCATACAAGAACCCTTGTACATTCCCCATATTACTCGAATCCCTGGGGCGGCCCATCCTGTGAAAGTCCCGCACCCTAAACCCTACGTAAATCCTAAAGCGTATGGGCCATTAGTCTCCTTGGACCGCAGGTCGAGACGATGGTCGCGGTCGTGAGCGGGATGGCTACCGTGGGAAGGCGGCCTTTGCCTACATTCTGAAGTTAAATTCTTCCGAGACCCCCAAGGACGTTCATTGAGTGCAAGTACCCACAAATGGGACCTACAGTCCCCCTTAAGTAGATAGAATGTGGTGTATCTGGGGATCTTGTTATCAAATACCCAAAGCCATATTCTATCTACTTAAGGGGGACTATACAAAGGTCCCTCTTAAGACTTTGAAGGGTACTTGGGGGGTCCTGGCTGTGAGAGGTGTTCAGGGCATAGGATTTATTATCCATGGACTCGCATGGTACTGGGTTGCTGTTAAGGAACTTAAATTAAGTTACCATAATGGGTATATATAGTAAATAATAGGGCTTCCCCAATATAGTAACTTAATTTAAGTTCCTTAACAGCAACCCAGGGTAAGGTATGCTGGGGGTTAGGGTGTGGGGTCTTGGGTTGGAAACTGAGGTTTCTCTCAAATTCCGCGTCCCTACAGGGTCATGCGACAACTTCCAAGGATACATAGGCTTTTTAAGGTTTCACGTACGACCGTTGCGTGGATATGGGTGATTTCAAGCCGATACGGCATTCAAATTCTTGAAGCATTGACCCTAGTGTACTCCCCGAAGCGGAAATGGAACTCGTGTGGCACCTCAAAAGCGGACCATTCAAAGCTTCCGTCCTTTTTCCAGGGCGTCTATGTCAGGCTTGCCGTCTAGGATTTGAGGTCTTGGAGTTTGGAGACTCAGGGCCCTAAACCCTAAACACCATTTGTTAAGTCCGATGTCACCTTGAACCAACCCAGTCTCTTGCGCTGGTACTGTGGTCGGTTGAGGGATGCTGAGGGTTGAGGATCTGGCGCTTGGGGTGTAGGATTTAGGGTATGATTCATTCGCCAAAAGAAAAGGCAATCTTGCACCACTGTACAACCTATACCCTAAACCCTATGCCCTGGACCGTATACTCCAAGAATTGCAGAATTTGTTTTAGACTGTGTGGCGTAACCCGGAGCCTACGCCTCGAGCCACGCATGAAAATTTCAGACCCAAACCCTCAGGGCTTAGGGTTTAGGGCTGACCGTTTTATAGTCTGCATTTCATCGTAGGGGGTTGGGGTCTCTCATCATTAGTAGGAAGAGATTATGAGATTTTAAAACCCTATATCACCCTTTTTCAATTTAGGTTCCCCAAAATGGCCCCCGGCATGGAGACACTAACCCTGAACCCTTAAACCCATATATTTTAAACCCTTATACCCTAAACCCTTAAACCCTAGCCCCTAAACCCTTAAATCCTAAACCCTTGAACCCCAAACCCTTGACCCTAAACCCTCAACCCTAGACCCTTAGCCCTAAACCGCCGAGTCAGCTGGCAGGAAGAGCACCGCCGCGACGACCGCTACGAAGAGGATCGACGGGGACGACCAGGCCCCAGTCCGTTTCGGGGTTTAGGGTTTAGGGT